TTCCCTGGTTATGAGCACACTGCAATATTCGCTGCTCAGATCTCAGATTTCTTTGCAATGCCCTTTCCTCCTATGCGAACAGCTTGTGCAGAGTACCGTGCGGCTGCCTCCTCGGAGTGATGTGAGCTTCGTAAGTCATGTGTCATGCTTTGTATTTGCTGATTGGATGATTTATGCGTTCAAGCCAAGCAGCATGACCTTTTTGATTGCAACCAAAGGTGAAATTTTAAATAAGATTTTCAGCAAATCCTGGAGCGTTCAAGCTTAATATTGGCTTTTGTAAAGCTCTCTCCCAGTCCAGCTTCAGTACTTGAATGTTCCCAGAAAATAAATATGAAAGAGGCTCAGAGGTGGCTGAACCAAGATTCTTTTTGGGTGTCAAATATTTGTAGAGAGTGTAGATAATTTTTTACTGGCTGTTCACATCTGCCCCCTACTGAAGATGCAGAATTAGCATCTTCAGTGCTGGATCACCATCTACATGGAAACCATGCTCACAGGGCGCCTGGCCTCTCCGTGTGCTGCTCAGTCTGTCACTCTTTCTATTTTGATTTTTGCAAAGGCTCGATCAGGAAGACGGAGGCGAGATCCAACCTGGACACAGAACTAGTGATCCTTTAACAATATTTTGTGGGTGGAACATTTTGATAGGTTTCCCGATTTCCTAGCGCTGCTGCTGGTGGTGACTGCTGTTATTGTTGTTCTGACTGTATTTCTAATAGTTTTCTTTTTGTTCTGCAAGTCTTTTTTTTTTTCCCCTCTGCTGCTTCCTGAGTCATTTGTTGCTTCTGAGCCTGTCTTTTGACACTTTCGTCTTCAAACACGTGTATGTGTATGTTGTACTAGTCTAGTCTGATGAATTTTAAGGCAAGTAAAAAATTACCAGATACCCAGCTGCCATCCCAAAATGTGGAGCCCAACTTTTCCTGATATCTCTCTTCTACACCTGGGACATTTCCAAAGCAAGCAGGTGGATGTAAATTTGCTAAAGCTACAATGAGGCACTGCCTTTGAAGGAGACAAGCTGTTTCTCTGGGAGCTACTGTGGCTCATAAAATATGTGAGATCCCTTCGAAAAGGTGCAGTCCCCATATTGGGGCAGTGGTATCCAGAAGGATGGAGAACGCATGCAGCTGCTGGCAGGATTGGATGGTTTCCTCTCCCTGCTCTCCGAAGTCACTCAAGAGCAGTCCAAAAATAGATCTACTAGGCTAGATGTTGGCTTTTGCGGCTGAAGAACAGACCAGGAAATATAAGTTCTGCTACTGACCAAGTACCACTCGATCTCAAAGACAGATCTCCCGGCCACAGCTGAGAAGTGGGTGCACCAGAGCTGCTGGGACACTCACTTCAAGGAAATTCATGGCAGAAGGGCTAACCACTGCTGCAGGCTGAGACATCCCACTGCAAGGACAGCTAGAACAAACACAGTGGTGGGAAGATGTCAGCGCTGTCCTTCTCTGACCGTATCCTCTGCTCTACCCTATGTCTTTTTTTTTATTATTATTATTTATTTTTCAATGGCAGGCCTCTCTGGGGAAGGAAACTTGAATACATGTGGGAGCACAGGATTGCAGCCTGCTGATATAATCCTTTTCGTCAATGACCAAGCCCTGTCTCAACACATCGGAGTTTTTTTGAGCTGCGTTTGCTTATTTGCTATCGCTGCTATGACACAAGGCAACCTAACTGCCAGTCTGATTTCACTCATAGCCAAAGAGTTTACACCTGGTACAGGCATACAGGGGCGTCTGTGGACATTCAGAGCAATACTTAACAAAGCGATTCATCCCAAAAGAGACTCCCTGTCTGAGATCTGTTGGAGTGGAATTATTTATTTAATTAATTCTAAAGTTTTTTTTTTTTTTTTTTTTTTCACGTTTAGTGAGACACCCCCTTTGCACTCACTCTCCCACGCAGACGTTGCAGAGGTTATAGCAGGCAGTGGCGGGGGCGGGAAAAATCTGTCAGCGTGCAGAGGCGGCAAAAGATATTTCAGTGTCTTGCTGCACACGGAGCTCATCCTGATGATCAGCAGGATACGCCTGGAAATGTATTGGCAGGTGGCACCCCACCGCCCTTTCTTCCTTCCTGTTGCAGTTACCTCAAGCTGCTGCATCACGAAGGCTTTGAACAGGGGGAATTTCTCTAGGGGAAGACTGTTAAAGGGGAAAGATTAGGGGCTGACAAAAGCAAGGTAGGAAGAAGGCAGAAACCAGCTGTAAGCCCTGATGTTTGGAGGTGAATTCTCCTTTGGGAACGCAAGTTAGCATTCCTGGGATAGGATCCCTTGGAGGGGAGCTGTAGGGGCCCAGGAAGGCTGCAGTTTGGAGGCTTTCCAGAAACAAGGTGCCCTGTGACATTCAGGAGGACTGAAGGTCTGAAAATCCTGGTGGACCTCCAAAACGTGAGCCAGCTTCCCTGTAAACAGAGCTGGGGCTTTAAAGGGGATTCTGATGTAAAATTGGAATGAAAGAAGGTTAAGTGCTGTGCTTAAGTGCTGTGCTGAGTTAGACACTTAATGAATGACCAGTTAGTCCTATTTCAACTTAATCTGCTCCTGGAAGGCCATTATAGTACTCTCATACTGGTGGCCCAAAAAGGTAAAGACCATGCGCTAGTCCTTCCCGTCTTTACAATCCCTCTCCAAGGGATCCAAGACGCTGATCGCAAAATGCGGTTAATTATGTGCCCTTGAAATGTATTATTTGCTCACTGGTAAAGTAGATGAAGAGTCACTTGCTTCGGGGCTGGAGGGACTTTTATAACGAACAAGTCTGATCACTTCCATATCTCTACCAGAGAATTTCACCTATTCATTCAAGAAAAGAACTAAAAACTGTGATGAAATAGAATTTTTTAGTTTTCAGAAAGCATTCTGTCAGGATAGTGCTACTCCTAAGTGCAGGGGAATTTCCTGCCTTTCTTGGTAACCTTTTCCTTTAGTTAGTTAAGCCCATTGCTCTGAACAAATACAGTCCTTCCCTTCTGACTCACAGGTCTTCACTTCACTTCTGCTTTGTAGTGGTGTTTCAATTTCCAACCCTGAGATGTTTTATGCCTTATCTGCTAGATTAAGAAGTCGTCTAGCACCCATTCTCTTGTATCTGGAGAGGTATTTATAGACCCATCAACACGTTGTTTCTTAACCTTGGCTGCGTTAAGTAGACTGAACTCCATAAATCTGTCTCTGCAGGACACGTTCTCCAGATCTCTGGTTGCTTCCTGCCTGGCCAGTTCAGCCAGACAGTGATGTTTCCTCAGCAGGTCTGAATTTCTGCCTGGACTAGTGGCTGAGTGACTGCTCAGGGGAGTCCCTGGTGTGGAAGAGGGGCCAGAGGCATAGGGTCAAATGAACCAGCTAGATTCCTCCTTGCTGCAGAAATCACATTTTGTGGCATGACTTTACTTACTTTGAATCCCCCACGACCAGGGCAGAAATCATTTGTTAAGTCATTCCCTGTGCTTGTGGTGAGCTTTAGTGACCATGAAAGTTCAAGGACTGACAAAGAGCTGTGAGTAA